GGAGTGTATAATTCGACAGCTGTTCCTGTAACTAAATATAGGCTGTTTTTCTCATTTTTGATATTCCTCATGTCATGTTTTCCACCTGTGTTGGTTAGAATGAGATGCAGGATAGTGTAAAATCTACCATCCAGCAAGTTTATCAGGGAAACTTTGAGTTTTGTAGTGAAATGAACAAATTTTTTTTAACTTTTATCTTTGTCCCTACTTTAAATAAATGGGGCTATATATAGTCCATTGTAATTTCAACTTTTCAAGCAATGAAGATCTTCAATTGAATTTTTTATATTGATACTTGCTTTTGAAGTACATTTACAGCATGTTTTATGCTGCCAGTTAATTTATTCAAGGAACTCTGCAGGAGGATTCTTGTCATTTAGACCTTCTATTCCAAGGAACTTGTTACTGGATGGGGAGCATAATCTCGAATCACACTTCTCTCTTATTAATTGTCAATTGTGACCTATTAATTTAGAACTTCTAGCTTCTTCCACTTAATCCTCTGTGTTTATTTTCATTATTTCTGTTGTTGACAATTTTTTTCAGATAAAACAAATCAGGTCAGCACTTGCAATCGCTTCATTGTTAAACCGTACGCTGGTGAGAACTCTACGATCACTTGCATGATTGTCTTAAAAGTTTGTGATCGCTTTTCTTATGAGTTTGCTTGAATGTATTTTCTCTGCGAAGGAAGTTGAAGCAAAATATTTCAGTGGTTCTTATAAGATTCTTGGCTACACCCTTAAAGTATGAGTTTTAACATGAATTACTTGTTCCTAGTGGTAAAAAAGTAATCAAGGGAAAACATCTATAATTTAAAAATTCATCTTAATAAAGAGCCAGTAAAATCTGTTGTGCAAGTGGTATCACATTGTGTGGTGAAACTTATCTAATTTGTTCCAAATGTAACCTTGGGTATTGCATTTGGATAAGGTTATCTAATCATCTCTTTGCTTCTCACTGTATATATTTCAGGTTATGCCTCCGCTATGGTGCAGGTTGGATAGGCTGTGGTTTCCACATCCAGGAGTTTTGGTGGGGTCAATGACTAGACAACCTTTTCTCTGCCCTTTGGACCATGTTTTTGAGGTACATTTTAGTTGATTGTAAGAACTTTTAGATCTTTTTCTTGTTTCTGCTGGTACCAGTCCTTCCTATATCGTAGCAACTATGAAATTAAATAATATCTACAAGTCAGAGCACTTCATTTAGCTTCTTTTAAAGTACAACATAATACCAGGAGCTTGTGGAAGGTGCTTGCATCAGACATTCTCATTGACTCTCAAATTTATGCTTAAATAGTTAAATATCATGTCTTTCATTCTTTGGACAAGCTACCTTTTAAAGAAATGATAGGACGATAAAGAGTTGTCAGATGGATGTTCTGGTTAGAGATTGTTTTAAAATTTCTTATCTGCTTTTGAGTAATTGCTGTGCAAATCATCGGTGGAACCTATATTCAGAACAGTCCTGAGAATTCTTTTCGGGATTCTTTCTTTGACTGAGCTGGGAGGAGGGAGGTGAGCATAATTTTGGTTCTAATGTACATTACCAACTTGTTATGAACTCCTTTGCCAACTTATTTAGAAATTTTCAAGTTTACATAGTGATCTTCTGGTTGGTTCGTAATTTTTTTAAATGAATATCAAAATTTGAAACCCTTAAGATCAGTTCCGTGAATCTTCTGATTGAGCTAAACTTCTCCTTCAGAGTTCTATTATGAGAAGATGCTTTTATTTTGAGCATGAGAACTTGTAATTAGAATATACTTTGCACTATTGTAGGTAAATGTCATGTTGAAAAATCTTCCAGTAGAGGAATTTGGTCCTGCAATCAACATCAGAGAGTACTCTTTTCTCAACAATCCATTATTCCCCCAACAAGTAAATGATTATCAGTAATATAGATCAAATTGCTTCTTTTCTATGATCTCCTTCAGGAAACTTTAGTTTGGAATGTTGTTTTAGGTAAAAGAGTCGTGGCTTGATGTTCAGCTATGTCAAGAAGGAACCGAAGATTGCCATGCATCAATCAACACAAGTCGATAAGGTCTTTTAAGATTTCCAAAACGCAGCAGTGAAGAAACTGTATGGCAGATTATTTAATTGCTTATATGAAATATCATGTTCATATTAGTGATGTTACTTCCAACATTCTTGATGAAATGGAAGCTGATGAAATAGATCCTATGTAGTGCATTGTTCCCTGATAAAGATGTGCAAGTTACATTGCATCATACGAAGGTTTCATTGTTTAAAATTTTGGTTTGCCCATTATAACGAGATAAAGTTAGGCAGTAGTCTGAGTTTAGGTCGGTCAACAACAAGCGAAGGTTGCTGTTGCTATCCGGTTGGCAAATCACCGTAAGTTGGCTAGATTGCAGGTTAAGTTCATAATTGAGTTACTATGGTTATGTTTGTAATTTCATGAAACTAGTAATGTCTTAATCAAACCAGACGTTAACATTGTTGGCTTGGTATTGAGCTTGTTGAGTTGTAATTCTAAATTACAGTTCAAGGCAGTGTTCTCTTCATTCAAGGATGTCAAAGTGACTCAATTATCTTCTATGCAAGATGCTTGTCTTGGTTTCACGGACAAGGCAAGTCTTTTCATCTAGCTGCAACAACTTTCCTTCCATTATTTTTACTTTATTTCATGCTTGGTTGTCTTGGACAAATATGCTAAATGATATATGTACACTCAGAAGAGAGAGGAGAAATTCAGGAATCGTGTGAAGCTTATGTAGGTATATGGTGCTGTGTTGACAGCCACATTCCTGGACACACATATATTATGACATGTATTGGGATGAGAAATCAGGTTGGAAACCTGCCCCACCTAAAACCCCAGAGGAGGATCATCCGCCTTTCTGAGGCCCTGTCCCAACCGTATGAAGTATTGTCAAAATGTTGCCAAAACGACAAAAGGAAAGCTTTGTGAAAAACCAAGAATGTTGTACTCATATTTGTAGATGCGGGGATGAGGTTGGGGAAACTGTCCTGAATCCGAAATTAATTTGAAATAGTGAAGGGTTTACTTGTTAGTGTACCTTGGGTAAAAAAAAAGGTTTTGACCTGTAGTCTTCAACTTTTCCTCTATGCAAAATAATAATAATAATAATAATAAAAGGGTAATGATTTGAAGAAAGTGATGGCTGTCTTGTTACTGCTTTGATAAGCTGATTTATGAATTATGATGCGGGCTTTTTCTCTACTAGTGAAGCATTGTTGATGTGCTGGGCCAAGCTGGAAAACTCAACTAGGAGGGAGGCTATGAGTTTTATAGGCGGATACCAAGAGAGCCTGAACCTGGCATTTGGGGAACCTAGTAACTATAATGGAAATAGGGAAATGGGAAGAAAAGTTGTTTTGGATTGGAACCTGAAAACGTTGGGTACTAACGAACATACATGTATTTATGTATGTCTGTATGTCAGTACTGCTGGAGGACGGAAAGATACCAATGGAATTGAGTTGAGGCAAATCATTCACGATTGAAATTTGCTCGTTACAACTGAAAATAATCGCAACATTTTGCTTCAAATAATCCTTTTTTTTTATACTTAATTATAAAATCTGCATTGTAAATTCATATTATAACAAATAATAAATAAATTCCACCTATTACAGTTTTGAATTTTACTTTATTTTTTTTATACAAGTTTTATTTTAGAATCAATAAAGTGGATATATACCAACTGATTTTTAATATAAAAAAGCCTAATATTTGATTTTGGAACTATAACAATAATGTTGAATAATAATATGCAACATGCTACACGTGTAATTTGTAGTAAAATAAAAGTGTAAGCGAATAAAATTTTTGATGAATCATTCATGAATATATTCGATTTTTATTTATTTATGTTCATTTATTAAATTTAACAAACGATTTTAAATATCATTTATATGTTCGTTTATTAAACAAAATGAATATGAACAATTGTTTGTTTATTTATTTATATTTATAAACAAATTTATTTACGATTCATTTAAAATTCGTTTGTTTATTATTCATTTATTGTTTATTTTTATTTGTTTACAATAATACTAATAAATTTTTTTATTTTTATCTTTTACTTTAATTTTATTTTAAGGTTTATTTATATTTATTTGAATTTGTTTATGTTCATTTGAGAGTTGTTTATTTAAATTTATTTATTATTCATAAATATATTTATTTCTATATTTATGAATATATTTGTTTAATATTCATGAACAAATTTATTTAATTTAATTGAATTAATACAAACAAGATACGAATAATTTATTATTTAAATAAATAAATATGAATGAATAAAATAAAATTTTTAATAAATATGAATATTTTTAAAAATAAAAAATAAATAAAAATATATATTCATTCGTCTACTTCGAATGAGCAAAATTTAGTTTATAAATAATAGTAAAATAAAAGAAAATTTATTTTAGATGTTAGTTTAATGATATTAGAGAGAGTGACTGAAAGTAATGCAATCAAAGCAGAAAAGATTAAAAACAAAAAAAAAAAAAGAGATAATTTACTACTAACTCCAGTATTAATTAATTAATTAATTTAATTAAACATGTTGCGTGCTTTGAAACATCGGATTTTGGGGACCGGACCCGTTCCGACAGTAACAAAGAAAAATCGGTAGATTTCTTCGTTCCTTGCGGTCCACGTTGCTTGTGCTCTACTACGCTCATCTCTGTCCCTAATTCCCAATGCAAGCTCACTGCTCTCTTCCCCCCCCCCCCCCCAATTTCCATATTTGGTCGGGACACACCCAAAATAACGCTATCCCTAGACCTATTACAAATATTGATTTGCTTATTTTTTTTTGTTAATTAGAGGAGAGATGGCGGATCGCTTGACGCTTATTGCGATTGTCAGCTCCGACCGCTGCAAGCCCAAGAAGTGCCGCCAAGAGTGCAAGAAAAGCTGCCCTGTTGTTAAAACTGGTATAATCTAAACTTGACTATCTCCAATGCTCAAAAAAAAAATTGCTTTTTCCATTACTTGTTAACTTTTATCTGGAAAATCAGCACTTTTATTCGATTTTTGTTTTTCCTGTTTTCGGAGCAATGTAATTCCATCTTATTTCCTTATGATAGTTTCTGCTAATAAATACTTAATCACGACCAACACATGAAATTAACGTGCATCAATCAACTCTTTTTTTCCCCAACGATGTTGATTGTTGGAGAATCCATGAGCATTAAGTGGACACTTATAATAATGCTTGTAATTTGGACGCACCTTTTTCGTTTGAATCTTGTTCATGTCTAGTTGAATTAGGAGTTGGATGTACGCATCCGTCTTCAGCTGTTTTTTTTTACCGTCAGTTGTTACTTAGGTCTAGTTTATGTCTTTTAGTGCTACAAATTATCTGTCTCACTTTTGTTTCTCTGTCTGCTGGGAAGCTATGTATTGAGGTTACTCCTGCCTCAAAGATTGCTTTCATATCTGAGGAGTTGTGAATTGGTTGTGGTATTTCACTTTTTACTACTTTTATCATATTTCGACATTTTCTTTACTTTGTGTTGAGTCGGGTTGAATTTCATGTTCCATTAAAACTTTAAAGCTTTGCTCACATTCTGTTTCAAATACTAGTATCTTTCAGCGATTGGAACCTAATTCTCCAGTTATTATTACTTATTATCATTATTATTATTATTATTATTATTATTATTATTATTTGAGCTCAACCAGGGCAGGCAACCGTTTCTCTTTAAGTTTGAGGGTGCCACCCAAAATCAATTGCCTGCTGCTATAATTAATCCATTCCATCCCTGATAATCAACTGATTATCTCGAACAACTATAGAATCAATCAAGCAAGACTTAAAACAGTCATATGTTAAACATGTCCCATTTGTACTAATACCCACCTTAAAATGTAACAAATATTTGGATCAACAAAACCTCAAAGCAGCTTCCAGTTCCTTTTCATCATCGCAGTTGTATCCTAATAGGTAAGCTCGTGCTGCCACAAAATCACAAAAATCAGATACTTAACACTAATCAGTAAACGCATGAAAGATTTAGAATCAAGTAATTACCAAAACGGCCAGATCCCATGAATGGTTCTGCTTCATCTGTGCCACCACATTGCTGCTGTTCCTGGAACGTTGACAAGCACATAGAATATTAGAAATGAATAATAAAAAGCAAAGATGATTGAAGTCACATCCTTAACAGCAAAAATAGCAAAGAAAAGGCTGCCTAGCTTGTTCAAGGATGAAATATATGAAATAAAAACAGTGCACCTAATAATTTAATAGTACATATTTTTAGACATGTTCAGGTGCATGTAAGGAGTAAACCATCTTGGAGGGTCAATTTCAACTGTGCACCAAGTCAGATTAAATCATTAAATCAGGTGGTTATCCACCAGCTACCTGAGGAAGTGACCTTCAAGGTGGTTCCCAAAACCCAATTGCAAACAGTCCTGGAGCATCACTACAGGCTTGGTCCAATGGCGTACTAAGTAGGATACACACATTCATATAATCCTAGCCAGGAGAATGACTACCAAGGCCGGTTCCTTGAAGTATTCTCATATTCATAGCCTCCCTTAACCATTGAAGCACCTAGAACCAAAATCCAAACCCACTCATCCTTGGTATCTCAGATATTTCTATAACATTTATCCTCCATCAATATTTATGGTCTGTATTCTTACCCTCTTTCTTTAGTCTCATGCTAAGCTATTTCTCTTTCTTGTCAATGCCCTTTTCACACTCTAACCAAGTTTCATGAAACTGAGCTTTAAAATTTTAATGAAAACCTTGCAAGAAGAACAAATAGCTAAAGAGAACTTCTACTCACATGATCCAATTCCATTTCGGTTGGTGACAGTAACCTATCAAAACAGTGGCCTGAAATTGTGCAGACCAAAAGCTCATTGTTTGGGTCCAAAATAACTTCACGACAAGTATCATCACATACTGGAACAAGAAAAAACATAAATAAAAACCATAAATTGAAGTCCCATGATAATTAGGCATGAAGTTGTACACATTACTGTGCATGAGAAATGCAACTATTGATAATGTTTCCTACCATGAACCTGCCCAGTCTTCTCACAAACAAATACATCTCCAATTTGGTAGTAGGAACACGTTTCTCCAGAACAAACATGGTCGACAACAACCTTATCAGTCAGACCCCGACTGCTTTTCCACATAGATACTTGATCAATAACTGTCTTGTCAAGAATTATCGAGTCATCCTTCACCTTTAGAGAGAGAGAGAGAGAGAGAAGAAAACAGCCAAATTCATTTTGTGTTCTTGTGGGGAAAATAGAATTAAGCATCTTTATGCATGTATCTAAAAGATGAACGAGTACTTAATCTTTCAGTATGTCAATAAAACAGGATACAGAGAAACACATTTCTATTCAAGTTAGTAATTGCATTCAAAAATAAAATTTCCTGCTGCAGAATGGAGATAGTTTTCGAGGAACATTTCTCATTAAATTCATGTAGCACAAAATCATAATTCTCTTTAAACACCATAGCATGCATAGCTTTGAACAGACATAGGGAAAAAAAAAACAGAATTCTTATTACTCAAAAACACATTCTTTGAATATAAGGACTCTCAGATAAGCAATCACTACAATATCATTGCTGCATGAGAAACTAAAACATGTTTCCCTCTTTTAATGGGTCAAAGGTCACTAAAACCATGTTACCTGCGAAGGAAGAGGTGCTTGGCTTCTTTTAGCTGCTTGCATTTGAATGTAGTACTCCTTAAATTCAGATGGACAGTTCCTAACAAGCTCAATCATGTCCTCTTCATCACGCTGTAAAGGAAAAGCATGTTTTGTCATTAGATTGAAAATGTCACAAGAAAAAGCAAAAGCATGCAGATCAGCTGATTCGACTGCAAGAAGTACACAGCAGAAAGTCACAACAAAGATTGCTATGCTAATTGCTAAAAGCTGATATTAGAAAGAAGACATACCTTTTTGCAGTCGCTTTTTAATAAAAATAGCTGACTATACATGCATATAATGCCCTCAAAGTTTTAACAGAATAAACTCAAATAGCAATCAGTGGCAAAGTAATCATGACCAAAAGTGAAATTATCACGCACGTGGCCACTAACCAATTACAGAGGTTTTTTATACAGTATAAATAAGTTGAGGATGTTAACAAAATAAAAATCTAAAACATAAAGGAATCTTAAATAGAGCAGTATAAACCAAAATTACCTGAATATAAAGCTTCTTCCAAGCACATTCCCTTATTTTTGTTGGAGGCAAAAAACCCCACCGCATACAATACCTGGACAATTTCAAACTTTTTGTTTAAAATAGCAAAGCAATGATTTACTGAGTGGAAGGGCCCATATGGGTTATAAATGCATATAGGTACATACATATTGTGCGGGAATGTACGGCTACCAAACAAACATAAATGTGATAAAAAGCACATATCTAAACCTCAATAACGATATTCATATTATATATATATATATATATATGTATGTATGTATGTATGTATGTATATGTATATCTGCAAAATTAACTAAAAACAAACCAATGATTAGTGACCCAGACATTTCAATAGACTCAACAAGGAAGTGTAGATGAACTTTCCCTCATTCAAATTCCATTTTTTCTTCCTAAGAAAGACGCTAATCACGCATTATGCTGATAGCTTGACCAAGATAGATCATCAATGAACAAAACTTAAAAACGAAAAAACAAAAAGGAAGAGACCTTGAATTTCAGAAACCAAATGCAATAAAATACTCACAGGCGACGCCATAAGGACTCATCAGATGCAGCATAATTCAGGAAACTGCACACCAGCGAGCACGTTACAAGATCCTGTAAATTCATACATAACAAACACAATACGAAAAATTGAGGCTTTGAGGAGAAAACACAAATTTAAGAGAGTGAGTACTGAAAAGGACCTCGGATGAGAGAAATTTGAGGATGTGAGGCAACAACTCGGGAGGAATCTTGCTGAATGTTCCACTCTCAATCCTCCGAGGAACACTCCTATTGTTATTGTTCTTCACTTGGCCCGGATTCGAATTCGAACAAGAAGCCCTCTCTCCTTTGCGTTTTTGCTCCTCTTCCTCATCTTCCTTTCCTACTCGCAATCGCTTGGCTTCTGGCTCCTCCGATTGCCTCTCCTCCTAAAATTCAAACAATTCAATTTCATCAAAGAAGCATAAAGTTATAGGTAAAGAAAGAGTGGGGGTGGGGTGGGGAAGATAACCTCATCGGACAGTTCGGATTCGAGGAAGTTTGCTAAGAACTTGTCTTCATCGTCTGATAAGGTCATGGATTAGATCGGAAGGTGATCAGACGAATAGATCGCCCGCAAACAGTGGAAGTGGTTTTTTTTCTTTTTTATCACAAGCCTAACGGCCTGTGATGGATGGATGGATGCGACGATATGCGGAGAGCGAGCATACGAATAAGTTGATGGGCTAGTTCCGGGTCGCGCCCACCCGAATCTATGCTTACATTAGTAACATAACACACCGCTTTGTCCGATACGGGTACATACCAAAGTATCTCTTCGCTCCTTTCAGAATTCAGAATTCAGATTTCGGGTGCCATGAGCCACGCGCCGCTAGTTTATTATGCGCGTGGAAAGTGGTCATTATTCTCAAAATTAATCCATTTATTTATTTAAAAAATTAATAACATATTAAAAAGCATTGTTGGTTTCTTAAATTTCTTTAATATCACTAATACTTATTTGCTTGAAAAAAATATTACTCATATAAATTTTTTCAATTTAAAAAAAATTACACATATAAACTCTTTTAATTTTATAATTTTTAAACGTTAATTTCAATATTATATCAATTAATAAAAAGTTAATAAGTGCATTTTTTATCTTTTAGATGTTGTTTAATTGCAATAAAAAAATTAAAATTAAAATTTGTTAATATTTTAGATTTTCAATATATTTTTCTATCTAAGGAAAGCATTAAACCAAAGACTTCGTTATGGTAAAAAATGCAAGTTTATTTTATCAAAATGATTTACAATTTTTAAAAAACTACATTATACTAGCTTTTTTAACCTGTACAATGTATGGAATTTTTTATTAAATTTTTCATAATTTTAAATTTATTTTTAAGTATTTATCTAATATATAATCATATATTTATAAATGTTAAGTTACAATTAAATGATAATTTATACATAATATATTATAAATGATATTGTTCATATAAAAGAAGTCTAAACTTTGGTAAATTTTCAAGAATTATAAAAATAATTTTTTCATTAAAAAATATTTTCTTCAATTTGTTTGCTTAATACTAAAAATTTTACTACCGCTTTTTTCTTGTTTGATAAAAAATCAATAATCAATATTTCAATAGTTAAAATTAATAATTATTTTTATCATAATGTTGATTAGGTGGTGTATATGTGTATATATATATATATATATTTGATTGAACAACATATCATAATTATTAATTTTGTTATAATCATTTGCTTTTTATTAGCTTTTATTTTTAATATACTTCAAGTAATTATTACACAAATATATTGGGCTAACAATTATTTCTATATATGTCAACAAAATAAAGTTATTTTTTAGATAAAAGGGAAACAATAATTCTTCATGTTATGCTTAAAAACTTTTTTTGAAATATTTTTTTATTTTTAATCATTTTTAACATAATTGATAGTATTTTTTATGAGTTAGACATGATAGTGATCATCGTTCTTCTCATATCATCCATTGTAGATAAAGATATTTAATAAAAAAAAATATAGCAAAAGAAAATTGAGAATATAAATTTACATATTAATTTGTCAATATTAAATATGTAAAATAATGAAAGCAAATAAGTTAATAAATTAACAGAAAATAAAAACATTGAAGAAATGAATAAACAAAAAATATATAATACAAAAAGTTAATTATAATCAAACCAAGAGAAATTTAAAAAAGTTATGGACTAAAGAGAAACAAATAAATTAACCAAATATATAACATAAAAATATTTGAATTAGAACATAAATAAAACATTATATTTGTTTTCAAAGCGAAACTATATTTTTATTTAATTTTTTTATCAACATTCAAATATTTCATATTTTTATATAAAGATGTAAGTTTTTATTACTTTAAAAATACATTCTTTCTAGTCAATAATTCATTAACTTATCTAAAAGTATTAAATATAGATAATGGATTAGATAATTTTTTAATTTTTGATAGATTTTAATTTGAATTTAAATAATAATCTAAAAATATTAAATTTAAATAATTTATTAAATATAATTATTAAACAGAAAATAAAATTTTATTAAGTATATATATTTGGAATTGTCATTAATTTTAAAAAGAAAAGATATATTATGATTTAATATATTTGAATTCAAATCTTATGCAAAAATTTGAATTTTGGATAGATATTGATTTCAATTTAAATAATTATCCAAACCATTCAATTTAAATAATTTATTAAAAAATTTATTTGATAAATAAAATAATATAAATATTATCCTATGTGTCATTAAAAGAGATTATCCACCTAGGCATCCACATAAGCAATTTTGATTATGTAACCTTGTATGTTGTAATATAATATATATATATATATATATATATATATATTAGATATCCCAAACTATATTTGGTTTATTGTCCAAATTTCAATAATATGGAAAATGCAACATTTATAAGTAAAATTTAGAATTTTACACCTAATTTAATATTCAAAACTTTATTTTAAAAAAAAAAAAAACTCTATTCAACATCAATTTCATCAGATTTATGTTTTATATTCTTAACATCAATCTCCTCCCATCTCTGTCTGTCGTTGTTATTAGCATTTAATGTTCAAATTATATATGGAGGTTTACAACCGAAAAACATGAGAAAAAGGAACAAATTAAAAATGCACCAACATATCCTTTGGTAAGAAATAAGGATTGTGCCATCGGCCAGCTCATATATATATATATATATAATCAATCAGCCAGGCAGGGTAAGAACAATAAAACTGGAAGAAATGTAACAGTAGAAATCTCCTTTGCTCCTTTCCTTAATCATCAATTAGTGAGAGATGCTGTTAAATATATGTTCCCGGGCGGGCAGTACTGACCAATGCTTGACTTATTGTCTGCAAAACATAAAACATGCAAATATGGTGGCACATGGCAACAATAGTCAATGACATGCAAATATATAATATATATGCTTCTGTGTTTGCCTGCTACTGATGGAGAAATGTTGGAAGAATTTTTTTTATTTTAATTAAAAAAAGTATTTCTTAATTTCTTTAAGGAACCAAAATAACAATTAATTAATACCTGCAATTCCTTTCCTACAATAACATTTGCATCAGTTTCCAGACGGTGCATACATACGCAATGGCCTACCACCTCTTTGACGGTGATGGCATGCTTCACTCCCTCAGAATTTCCCCGGGCAGAGCCACTCTGTGCAGCCGTTATGTCAAGACTTACAAGTATAACACTGAGCGAACTGTGGGCTCTCCGGTTGTTCCCAATTGCTTCTGTAGTTTCAGCAGCCAGCCTGCTTGTCTCGCCCGTGGTGCTCTCTTTGCAACTAGAATTATATTTGGTCATTACAATCCTGCAAAGGGCATTGGTTTTGCTAGTACAAGTTTGGCCTTGTTTGGCAACCGTCTCTATGCGCTTGGTGAGTCTGATTTACCATATGCTGTACGCTTGACCTCTAATGGTGATATAGAGACATTGGATCTCCATGATTTTGACGGAAAACTGTTAGCCAGCATGACGGCTCACCCCAAGGTAGATCCTGAAAGTGGGGAAGCCTTTGCTTTCAGATATGGTCCCATAGGTCCATATCTAACCTACTTTTATTTCGACGCAAATGGAAACAAACACCCAGATGTGCCCATACTGTCAATGGTTCATCCATCTTTCCTCCATGATTTTGCAATTACGAGTAATTATGCATTATTTGCTGACATGCAAATGAGAATAGAGCCCGTAAAAATGATTTTTCGAGGAGGGTCTCTTATGATTTTAGATCCGGCCAAAGTGCCAAGAGTTGGAGTTATCCCTAGGTATGCAAAAAACGAGGCAGAAATGAGATGGTTTGATGTGCCAAGGGTTCAACCCTGTACATGTAGTGAATGCTTGGGAGGAGGACAACGGAAATGCAATAGTTATGCTAGCACCAAACATAATATCAGTAGAACATGCCCTTGAGAGAATGGACCTTGTCCACGGCATGATGGAGAAAGTAAGAATCGACCTAAAGACAGGGCTGGTAAAGAGGCAACCGATATCCTCAAGAAATCTAGACTTCGTAATGATAAATCCATAATGCTTGGCAAAAATGAACAGGTATGTATACTCTGGAGTAGGTTCGCCACTGCCAAAAATATCAGGAGTAGTGAAGCTAGATGTGTCCAAAGTCAAAGGAGAGTTCCAGAAGTGCACGGTGGCAAGCAGGATGTACGGGCCAGGGTGCTATGGTGGGGAGCCCTACTTTGTTGCAAAAGCACGAGAGAATTCAGAAGCAGATGTAGAGGAGGATGGTGGGTATTTGTTGACATATGTTCATAATGAAAACACCGGAGAATCAAGATTCTTGGTGATGGATGCAGAGTCACCCAATCCTGACATAGTGGCTACCGTGAAGCGACCCCAGGGTGTTCCTTATGGCTTCCATGGATTTTTCGTGAAGCAAAGTGAACTCAAAGTCTAATTTTCTTCCATTGCTTTTGGCGGCTTATAATCCACTCATTAATTTAAATGTTTTATGTATATTATTTTTTATGAAATTACAAATACAAATTATAATTATATTCAAATATTACATCTGTATATAAAAAATTTCTCAATAATCAAAACAACCAATCAACAAACTAAAATATAACTAAATAAATTCATCGTAAAATTAAATCAAATTCATATACAACGGAACTTAAACCTAAAAATTTAGAATTCCAAGATTATTTTGTTGCCACTAAATAAGTACGACAATTGTTTTATGTGTAATAGAGAATGATACTTATCTCATTAGCAAGTACTGATTTCCTTAATTTTTTTAATCTTCGTATGCTGGGAAAATATATATATATCTATATATATTATCGATCAAACTGCTTTAGAAAAAGAGTTTTCAATCTGTATGGAACAAAGCAGAATTGCGCAGCGTAGGCGGAATGGCCATATATGCAACACAACACGTACAAGGATCTTCAATTGTTTATTGTCACATCCTATGCCCTGGAAGTATTTCTTTCGGTAAATTATCTCAAACTGGTCCTAACCAATTTATTTTGTTGGAAAATTTGAAAAATAAGAAGGTAGATAAACAATATTGAAACTTTAAGAGCACTCTCTTAAATTTTTTGGTGGGTGAGGAGGACGAAAACATGAAAATTTTTTTAATCTAAAGTGTGATTTTTATAATAACGTATTATTTTGTATAGTTTTTTTTTTTCTTTTGTTTCCTTCTTATAAAAGGGAATGTAAATCCAATCTAGGCAACTTTTATATAATCAGGCTCAGTAGTCATCAAACAGTAACTATAATTAAAAAATAACTTACAAAATTATGTATATAAAATAAATATATAGGCAGAA